GGCCAGAGTGCTATTTAGGACATCTGCCATTCTGTGAGTCTGCTGAGTATCTCACTTCCCATGTTGGATCACTCTCCCCTTTATTTATTCTATCGGTTAGTGTTAGCAGGTACTAGACTTGTTTATGTGCTCCCTTTGACTCTTAGTCCTTTCATTATGATCAATTGTGAACTGAAATTGATCACTTGGAATAGTGAGATGGCAATGGTACATGCCACATTGATGGGATTGAATTGGAATCCCCTGGTATGTTTCTAACTCTACCATTTGGGGCAAGTCAGCTTGAGCATGTCCCAAATTATACATCTCTTCCCTCTCTTATTCCCACTCTTATGTTTAACAGGGATCACATTTCAGTTAATTTTCAACACTTAAGAATAACTGTGTATTAATTACAGAATTAAACCAGTCATATTAAGTAGAACAGACAAAAAAACTACTAAGAGGGATAATGTATTAAGTTGTTCATTAACAGTCAGGGCTATGCTGATCAAGTCACCGTTTCCCATAGTGGTGACAAATTCTTTCAATTTCTGTTTGTTACAGAAGATCTTTATTTCACCTTCATTCATAAATGAGAGCTTGGCAGGGTACAGTATTCTGGGTTGACAATTTTTTCTCTTGAGACTTGGAATATATCTCACCATTCTCTCCTAGCCTTTAGGGTTTCTTTTTATTTATTTATTTATTTATTTTTGACAGGCAGAGTGGACAGTGAAAGAGACAGAGAGAAAGGTCTTCCTTTGCCATTGGTTCACCCTCCAATGGCCGCCACGGCCAGCGTGCTGCGGCTGGCGCACCGTGCTGATCCAAAGGCAGGAGCCAGGTGCTTCTCCTGGTTTCCCATGGGGTGCAGGGCCCAAGCACTTGGGCCATCCTCCACTGCACTCCCTGGCCACAGCAGAGAGCTGGCCTGGAAGAGGAGCAACGGGACAGAATCCGGCGCCCCGACCGGGACTAGAACCCGGTATGCCAGCGCCGCAAGGTGGAGGATTAGCCTAGTGAGCCGCGGCGACGGCTAACCTTTGGGGTTTCTGATGAGAAGTCTGCTGTGAGTCTAACTGGAGATCCTCTGAATGTAATCTGGTGTTTCTCTCATGTACATTTTAGAATCTTTTCCTTATGTTTTACTGTGAAGAGTTTGATTACAATGTGTTGTGGTGAAGATCTTTTCTGGTCATTTCTAATAGGAATTCCATGTGCTTCCTGTACCTGGATATCTCTTTATTTCTCCTAGGTAGGGAAGTTTTCCATAATTATTTCACTAAAAAGGCCTTCTAATCCATTCTTTATTTCCATGTCTTCAGGAACTCATAAGACCCATATGTTGGGTCTTTTGATAGTATCCCAAAAATCTCCAACAGTGTTTTTAGTTTTCTATTATCTTCTTATTTTTGGTCTGACTGTAAAATTTCCAGAGATTTGTCTTCTAACTCAGATAGTCTTTCTCCTGCCTCACCAAGTCTGTTGTTAAGGCTTTCCAGCACATTTTTTATTTGATCTGTTGAATTTTTCAATGGTGTTTTAACTCGACCTGTTCCAATCTCCCTCTCAGTAGCCTTGTAAACTAGTAGCTTCAAAATACAGTAGCTGTGAAAACTGACGCCTGGCATGCCCTGGAGAAGTCAGACCAGGTTTGGTGCTCCTCAGAGGCTCTTATTAAGAAGAGTGCCTCTATTTGACCCACACCGTGAAAAGCTCCACTCTCATAGCTTGTCCTTATTTGACCCAAGGCAGAGCTCTTCCCATGGGAACAGCCCTATCCTGGGGCATTTATCAAAAACAAGTAGTGGTGATTGTTTCTCACAAGAGCTACCTGACAAGATACTATCAGCTGGGACTAACAAAGGGCTGACCAGAAAACATCGTGCTCTAGTTTTAAGGGAAAACGAGGGAATGAGATGTCTACCAGGGCCTTAGCCATGTTCTGACATATTCCTCAGAGTCTTGGCAGCCAGAAGTATGTGCAGAGCTTTGTGCATGCCACCGAAGTCCTGAGAGGACCCTGCAGCCTCACCTCAGCCTGATCACCAGCTCTCTGCAGGCAGGAGGTGAAGGCTAAAGAGCAGCTGTAAGCACTCCAGGGACTATGACAGGCTCGCTCCAACACGTTCACAGAATCTCTCAGAAGACATTAGGTCACTACACTTAAGGACATACAAAAATATTCTCTGGGGCACCACAGAGGCACAGAACAGTTAAAGTATCAGTTCGTATTAGAGTTTAAAAAGTAGATGTAGATAGGCCGGCACTGTGGCGTAGCAGGTAAAGCCGCCGCCTGCAGTGCCGGCACCTCATATGGGTGCTGGTTCAAATCCTGGCTGCTCCACTTCCAATCCAACTCTCTGCTATGGCATGGGAAAGCAGTAGAAGATGGTCCAAGTCCTTGGGCCCCTGCACTCGCGTGGGAGACCTGGAAGAAGCTCCTGGCTCCTGGCTTCAGATCCGTGCAGCTCTGGCCATTGCAGCCAATCAGGGAGTGAACCAGCAATGGAAGACCTCCCCCCCCACGCTGCCTCTCCTTCTCACTCTGTGTAACTCAGACTTTCAAATAAATAAATAAATCTTTTTTAAAAAAGATATAGAGAAAAATAAATAGTCCATTGTTCTGAACATAAAATTATATGACAAAAAAAATCTGTATATGACTTTTGCCAATGAGGTCTAGTTAATTTAGCCATGACACAAATTCCTAAAAATGCAATTACATGCCATATATAGGGGCCTACTTGTGGAAGCTAAAATATAATTCATGAAATAATTATAAAAACTTTAATTTTTGCCAACACAGGTTTTTATCTTATTTTATATATATATATATATATATATATATATGACAGATAAACCTAATCAAATATATTAAGCAAATATCTCAGGCAACTTAAAGGAGGGAGATCACATACTTCAGTATTAACCCAAGTGGGAAAGTAGGCACCAATTAGTTTTGTTCTCTGTGGGGAATCTTCCTGATGGCTATGTGACAGGAGCCTCAAGGGGGTAGCAGGGTTGCCCATGTTTTAAATGGCATTTCCATAAAAAAAAAATCGACAGAAGAGAAGATAACTCAAAAAATAAATTGCTGAATATTCTTAATTCAAGCTCAAGTACAAACCCAAAGATTCAAGTGTGTTTCTCAGTCAGCCCTCGTCAGGGCAGGGTGGAATCTGTGCCATTTCCATGGCGTCAGTCAGTGGAATGAGCACAAGAGTGCTTCCAGTGCAGACGTTCAGAAGCTGAAGCAACCGCAAGTGCAGTGCTTTGGGGAGAAGTACCCGCTAATGATCCGAGAGCACTTTGGTATTACAAAGAAGGCAATTTCTCTGCAAGTTTTGGTTAGTGGTCATATATTAGGTTTACTGTGAAAAGAACACACACAACAGGATTCACACCAGCTCCCCTTTCTTGATTTAGAAGAGAAAAAAAAAAAACCTCTGCTCTTTCAACAATCTTGTTCCCACAAACATAGAGACACGCTGTATTATTCTACTTAAAGAGAAACAAGTGGGTCTCCCTAGATTTTAATGTTATAGAAACATTCCTAAAAGCCTTCAAAGTGCTCAAGTGCTTCAGACCTTAAGCTCCTTGGGTGTTCTTAAGGACAGAATTTCAATGTGTTCCTCTCACTACAGCATCATGATTGAGATTTTAGGAATTAACACAGCAACCTGGAACAATTCCAACAAAGAAAAGTACACAGGAAGAAAGTCTACATTCAACTTTTTCAAAAAGACTAGTTTGACTTAGAATGATGAAGTCAAGATTGTATGCCATTAAAATTTGTAAAGGATTTTGGAAACAGGCCCACACAATACATGAAATCTGGCTATTTAAAAGGTGATATGCATTTCAGAATTATCTAGATAATTGAGATTAGGAGTTAAATAAAAACAAATTTTAATTCAGATCAACATGTAAAACAGATTCAGATCAACATCAGTGAAAATATAAGTTGAAAATATTGGCCTTTTGTGAATAGTTATAACTACTCTAACAGTAAGTGCAACACTAAGTACATTTAAGGGTTTAGCATGACAACATTCACTACCTCAGAGACAAAGACATTTAAGCCCCTATTGTGAAAACCTAGCCTTGTTGAGTGCACATTCATTTTTTAACAAAATGTAAAGGCCAACAGAGAATTCCTCGAAGCAAGATGAAATCACAAACAAAATAGAGAAAGAAAAGCCAAGCCGGCATCTCAGCCAAACAATCAGCCAATGCCCAGAGATGAACACAGTGATTTACAAGTAAACATAATACGGGGCCACTGCTGTGGCACACCGGGTACATCTGCTGCTGGTGGCACCGGCACCCTATATGGGCACAAGTTCAAGTCCTGGCTGCTCCATTTCCAATCCAGCTCTCTGCTATGGCCTGGGAAACCAGTGGAAGATGAACCAAGTTCTCGGGCCCCTGCATCTACATGGGAGACCTGGAAGAAGCTTCTGGCTTCGGATCAGCCCAGCTCTAGTCATTTTGGCCATTCGGGGAGTGAACCAGCAGATGGAAGACCTCTCTCTCTCTCTCTCTCTCTCTCTCTCTCTCTGCCTCTCTGTAACTCTGCCTTTCAAATAAGTAAATTAAATAAATAAATCATTTTAAAAAATAAAGGTCAACATAATGTGCTAAAATTAAAACCTTTCCCAAAGAATATATGTTAAATATTGGTCCTAAGTTCATGGAGTTTAAAGAAATGTTTGCGCTGAAATAAACTTACCTTTTAATTCTATTTACATACATTTTTAAGTTCCCTCATATATGCACCACATGCACACACATACACATTCACAATCACCTCAAATGTGTGTGCACATATATACACACAACTGTATATATGTATATATATTTATTCTATACATACACAACTATATATATATTCTAATGAAGCCACATAGGTATTATTTTTGCTTTTATGAAAGTAAGTAAATAACCTTATAAAATTTTTTCTCAGCTAACCTGGATTTATTTTTTACTTACAATTAATCATTCAGAAGATAAAATATTTTCATACTTTGAACTTTAATATGGCAGAAAGTACCTCTTTCATGAGAATTCTTGATTCCTAAAAAAATGAAACAATACCTTTGCGAGCAATTCCAAAAGAAAAAATAGCGAGTGGTCAATGCACACGACTATTTCATATCCCTCTGGTCTTCGGGACAACCTTTGTGGGGCTTTATCATAAAAAACCGCATTTCACTTTTAAATGTTTACTAAAAAGAATATCACCGCAAAGGGAATCAGCTTAAGGAAGGCAGCAGAAAAGCCTTGGCTCCAGCTTTAGAGAGGACAGCACTGTGTGGGGCTTTACTCCCCCACACAGGACTTTCCTGCTGTTCAAACGTCCATGTGCAACACCTCCGTGGAGGAAAGTGGACTTCAGGTGGACATAAAGGTGGTTTCGTTCATTTATTGCTTTGTGCTCCTGGGCCATCTGAAAGACACAGAAAAGCACATTGACATAAACCTTCCCAAAACCGTGATTTGGGCACATTTTACGTTGCATTCTCACTGGACAGGAGTCTGGATCAGGCACTGCAGTGGTAAATGACAGCTAATCCCAGCGTGTCGGACAGTGACACCTGCCATGCAGGCACCATGCAGAAGACAAGCTTGAAAACTCACTTTGGAATCTGCTGCTGTTCTCCTTTGCGGCCATCCCTCTCCAAGTGTTCTGAAAATGTGCCCCCGCGATGCCCAGGCCCTGCTGTCCCCGTTCCCTGCTGTCCCTGTTCCCTGCTGTGCCAATGTCCCTGCTGTCCCTGTGCTCTGCCATCTTGGCCTGTCACCCCTGTACCCTTACTACTGTGCCCTCTACTACAGCTTCTCTGTATCCCCCACACTCTCTGCTCCCAGCTCTAATTGTGCCTTCTTGGTACTGACAGCTCTTTTTCACTGTGACACTGAGTGACTCCCTTCCAGAGATACTGTGGCCATCATCTAGAGGCAAGATGCTTTGCAGTTTTTAAAGTCATGTATCTGCTGTGTTTAAATGAACATATATTACCCCAGGAAAGTGACCAGCATCCTTAACTTCACTTGACGCATACGATGGCTCTGAAATTAAATGTCAAAATAAAAAGAAGGGAAAACCTGAGTCCAAGCCCCACTTGTGCTTCCTGTAAGCTACAGTCCCATGGGACTTCACCCTCAGAGGTGAGCTCACAGCACAACTGTGAACCCCCTCCACGATCCCATCATCATCCACACTTCATTCACAGAAGACAAAGGACCGCTCACAACCACTCAGTCAGCAAATGGTCGCATTCTGACTGGAGCCTCGCTTTCAGCTCTCACACCCACCCCATTCTCTCCACAGCAGCATGCTGGTTTCAGCCACAGGCTCTGGGACAGCAAGAAAGAATTCACAGACAAGAGCAACGGGAAACACTCCTAAATTTCTTTTTCATGCACCAAAATATGTACCTATAATGGTGCTAACTCAAAAGGAAGGTGCTATCAGGAATTTATTGATAAAAAAGCTAAAGATGAGAACAAATGGTTCCCATCTGATTACAAACTTGTTCCTTAAAGCATGAGAAATGCTGTAGTCAAGTCTAACAAAAAATCAGGAAACTCTAAGTATGGAAAGATAATGGCTTGTCTTTCTCCTCCATACACAACTGGTATAACACCAGATGGTAGAGAACTGGCTTGATCTTCATCTCGACTTTGGCAATGCTAAAATCCATGTTTGAGCTTCATTCTGGCACTGGAGAAGCTTGGTTACCAAAAAGGTCATATCCAATGCTCACCTCAGCAGAGCTCACACAAAAGCCCATGGCAAAATGAAGCAATGACAATAACTAACATTTTAGTGCCTCTTCCATGGGCCCAGGATTGTTCTAAGTGCTTACTGGTAATAATTATCCCAAAAGTCTATGGTTAGGTGTTATCAGCCCTAATTTTTGAGTGAGTAAACTGAGGCACAAACCTAGTTCACACTCTCAATGAGTGAAGAAACCAGGCTTGTGTAGTCTGAGATGAGAATGTTTTTCTCTTGAAAATGTACTATTCCACAAGGTTCTACAACTGTCCATTTTGCAACAGACATGACACACTCACATATATACAAATGTATGTGTAATGTGTATTTTGTATATAAATATATATGTTTAATTATAGTATTCCTTAACTCACTCTTAGGTAAAAAGAATAAGTGATAGATGTGGGTGGCATTAGCACCGGATGGTTTGAGGATGGGTGGCTTGAGGACTGCTGAGTCAGCATAGCAGACCATAAGGGTCAACGTTCTCAGAAGGGAAGGTCTGAGCCAAGTAGCAAGGATGCTCGAAGTCTCACCAACCACACCCCTCCTCTTCCAGCTTCATGATAACAGAAAACAGGAAAGAATCCCAGATGAATTTTGTCACACTTTTTTTAAACTTTATAACTGGTAACCAAACTATGAAATTCACAATTTCAGTATTCTACTAGCATACCTCTTCAGCATCATGTGAAAAAGTGTCTAATTGTATTCATTTTCCTTGTGATCCTTTCTAGTTTTTGACTGTTGTTCTTTACAACATGGCTGAGGTTTGGCTTTCACGGCACTTGTTCTCTGTGTTGTTGACGAGTCACCTGTTCTTGGGATGGTTGTCCCAAGGAGGAGTGTTCAGAAGGCTGTTGTCTGTCAGGTACCTGTTCTTGGGATGGTTGTCCCAAGGAGGAGTGTTCAGAAGGCTGTTGTCTGTCAGGTACCTGTTCTTGGGATGGTTGTCCTAAGGAGGAGTGTTCAGAAGGTTGTTGTCTGTCAGGTACCTGTTCTTGGGATGGTTGTCCCAAGGAAGAGTGTTCAGAAGGCTGTTGTCTGTCAGGTACCTGTTCTTGGGATGGTTGTCCCAAGGAAGAGTGTTCAGAAGGCTGTTGTCTGTCAGGTACCTGTTCTTGGGATGGTTGTCCTAAGGAGGAGTGTTCAGATAATTCTTGTCCCTCGGGTATTTGTTCTTCTTGTGTTGTTGCAGATTCGTCTTGTGACTGTTGTCTCATTGGTGGTTGTTTTTGGGTTTCTATTTCTACAGGGGTTTCTAGTGGTTCAGATGTATTTTCTTCCTCTAGAATGCCATATTGTTCTTCTTATTATTGACAAAATAAAACAAAGTCATTATTACATATAATAGCCATCCAAATCAACTGAAATAAATCATATAAATCATGCTATTCCATCATTGATTTAGTAGTGACAGTGATAACTATTCATAAAAATAGCTTTACATAGGGTGCTACACTTACAATGTGCTTTTTGTATGCATTATCACTTTTGCTCTCATTGGGAAATACAATTTCAAATAAGCATAAAATAGGAAGGATGGGATAGTATCAAAGAACTCTAAGAGAAATAAGAATAAAAATGTACGTTACCAAATAGTAATTAAACAGATATAATCCATTAGTGTTTTTAAAATTGAACAGTTACAGGAAAAAAAAAAAGCTTTTTCTGAGTCACTCAGATAGAGAATGGATTTTCAATAAGAAGCAAAAGAAAGAAATCAGAGTGCAGGGGCATCTGAGACAGTCTTCTCAGAATGGACACAAAAAAACATGAAAACCCGCTGTTGAGCTCAGGAAGACGCCATGTGTTTGCTGATCTCCACTGGTAAACCACCGTCAGCGATGCCAACACCGACCTGGCCTATGGCACTGATGGGGTGTGGCAGAAGGAATCAGAGGGTGCTCCTGAAAACCGACAACACAGCCCTTACATATCACCTAGGAAGACATCCTGGGGCAGGCATGTGGTGAAGCGGCTGAGTTGTCACATTCCACATCAGAGTGGCTGGGCGGGAGTCTCTGCTCTGCTCCTGATTCCAGCTTCCTGCTAATATGCACCCTGGAAGGCAGCAGGGATGGCTCAAGTCCTTAGGTCCTGCTACCCATGGGAGACCAGAACTGAATTCTAAGCTCCTGGAATCAGCCTGGCTCAGTCCCAGCTGTTGTGGGCATTTAAGGAATGGACCAATGGCTGGATGACTGGATGACAGATCTCTCTCTCCCCCCACCACCACTCCCTCCCCTTTGAAATAAATCCAAAAGAATAATTTTTAAAAATGAAAACCTATCTTAGGTGAGAAGTCTCACCATACCTGAGAGAAACCAGGTAACTCAAGTAAAATGTTTACAACACATATTTACACATTGCCTTCCACCCCAGACTGGTTTTTCCTCTTATTTTCAAAAGCACCACTCAGGACTCCAAGCCAGCACCCCCAACTCTGATTTCACGTTGCCCCTCAGAGCCATCATGTGGTCAGGTCAACAGACACCTGTCCCCTTCCAGCCAGGCCCTCTCCATCAGAGAACAACAGGAGAACACGCGCCCTCTGACCCTTCCCTTCTCCCCCTGCTATCAGTGCTTCTCTTTTTTTAAGACTTATTTATTTATTTGAAAAGCAGAGAGAGTTACAGAAACAGAGAAGGAGAGACACAGAAAGAGAGACCTTCCACCCACGGGTTCACTCCCCAAGTGGCTGTCGCTCCCCGTCTTCGTGGAGGAGCGACACTAAACCCTGCGCTGTTCTTTCGTCTGCTCGGCCCTCCCCAGGTTGGCTGCTGGTCCTTCCCGGGTTGGCTACCGTCCCTTCCACCTCCGTGGAAGGGCGGTTCCCCCTGGCCACATTCCCCACTTCCGCGGGGGAGCGGCACACCGCCGGCCGGCTCTCTCGGGGGCTGCACAGGTGTTCCCCTTAGATGTTCCCCTTAGATGTTCCTGGTGCATGCTGTCTCTCTCCTCCTTTATAGTCCTCCTCCACCAATCCTAACTCGGCTGCCCACACGCCAAGTACGCTGCTCTCCAATCAGGAGCAAGTCCTACAGTTTATTGGCTGAACTGGAGGCAGCTGTGTGGAAGCTGTTTACTTCTCTCCCAATGCCATATTGTGGGAGAGCAGATGCATAGAATAAGTCTTAATTCCAGTAACTCAGTCCAGTCCGGGTTGCTCCCCACAGTGGCCACAACAGCTGGGACTGTGACAGGCTAAAGCCAGGAGTCAGGAACTTCATCTAGGTCTCCCATGTGGGTGCAGGGGCCCAGGGACTTGGGCCATCCTCCTCTTCTTTCCCAGTAGCATTGGCAGGGAGCTGCATTGGAAGTGGAGCAGCCAGGACTCAAACCAGCACCCACACAGGATACTGGCACAGCAGGCGTGGCTTAACCTGCTGCCCCCAGAATGCTTTTTAAAGAACATACATTCATCACATCATCTGCTTGTTTCAACATCGCCTACAGGATAAAGACCAAAGTCCTTAGAATAATAAACTAGGGTGTAGCAGTGATGGATGAGGCACTGAAGATCGACACTCCCCTTGCTCAGCAGAGCTGTGTTTCCAGGTGGGGCCAAAGGCTTTTTTGACCACAAGGAAGGAGGCGTGATGTGTCCCTTCTGAGCAGAGACGGCCAAGCACTTGCTCTAACTGGCTCTGGCTATCCTCTCCCCTCCCTTGCAAACTCCACACCGAGTGCTGAAGATGCCAGCATCTCAGCAACCAGGAATCTGAGTCACGGCACGCAGGAGAGCTGCTCTGGCAAGTCTCCAGCCCACAGCAGGCTTCCTGCGATCCCGAGAGAAACCTCAGCCACCGAGACCCAGACACTGAGTGTCTCCCACTCTCACTGACACCAAAGAAACGTGGGTCTCCAGCTGCCCCCCTCCAACTCACTGTTGCTCCCCCTTGCATTTGGACACTCCGACCCCTCTCCCAGCCTCCCCTTTTCCACACCATCTACCTGGAAAATTGCCACTGATCCCTCACAGTTCTTCTTAGCAGCCCTGTCCAGAACCACACGTTGTGCGAATCCTGGCAGCCTCTCTCCCAGCCCAGAGCATCCTGATGGATGCAGTGCAGTCCCTGGATACTCAGTGCACACTTCCACGGTAACGCTCAGCATACTGGACTTTCTGGTGTCTCCAGCTCAACTCACAAGCTGGCTGAGGACAGCAAACCTGCATCTCGTTCTTCCGGATCATTCACCTGGCCGGGAGTTCACAGCGCCAGGCATCCCCCACCCCCATAAGGAATGACTAACAATGTGTGAGTCCTGCTTTCAGATTAACCCTGGACTATTCAACTCACCTTTCTAGGTTTTAGTTAATTTATAAAAAAGTGACAAAACATGGATCATTAGGAATGTTCAGATTATGTGATAAGTGAATGAAAGCACACTGTGAACAGTGATGAGATGCTGTTTATCACCTCAAAGCTTACAGAGCCAAACACCGGGTTATAGAGGACAAACCAAGACTGCCACAGGGTAACATAGGACCATATGCCAGGTGAGAGGCAGACGCTGAGTGCTGTGCTGAGCTGCCTTTGTGCAGCTGCCCCTCCTCGCTCAGCAACCCAGCACCTCCTGCACGCCCGCCTCGCTAGCGCACGGGCGGTGTCCCCCTCACCGCCTGCGGGCATGGAGGGCAGAGGCTGCGTCTTACCCCTCCTTGCCTCTCAATGCAGGCAGGCACATGGAAGAAATTCAGAAAATGTTGATAGATGAAAGAATAAAGGCGTAAGTGATAAATGAACCCACAGTCCTACACATAAAGCATTCCTAAAATTTTACACATAAAATTAGAAGGTTCAAAATTCAAATAGAATGAAGATATTCAAGTGTGTTCATATGACGTGTTAATATCAGAATATATGTAATATAAAGGTACACAAAGTATTAATATTAATATAAAATTACATTTATGATATACAGTGTACATCATAATAAATTGCAAGTTCAGAAATCCCTGAGTTCACCTTGATTTAAATACAATTGTCATTGAGACATGTCTGGCACTGCATGCAGATCCTATGCTGTTTGCTTTCAAAACTCAACCAACAGGCATCCAAGTAGGACTGAGTTGTCACTGTGCTGCACCTGAGACACCTATACTTCTCTGACGTCTCCCCTCTGACACCTGCACTTCTTAGCTCATGCTTCAGGGGTTTCTATTTTTCTTGTCCACTCCTTTTTTACAAACTATGATAAAAATAAATGCAGTAAAATATTAAAATAACTGCACTGTGAATGATGGCTCCAAATCAAACTGCTGGCCACAGAATGTCACCCACAGAAAGGCAAATTCTGCCGTTGTCAAGGACCTAAAAGCTGCCCACAAGGATGGGGTGGAGGGTTCTGCACAGTTAGGAAGGCGTGCCTCACCCAAAGACGAGCAGTGCAGGCGCCAGGCATGGGCCCGAGGGAGAGGCCCGACTGCTGACACCGCCAACCGGGCAACTCCCAAACGGACAAAGGCCGAGCCTAGCGATGGCACCACACTCTGCCCCTAGCGCCCCCCAGGAGCTCGTAAGTGGTCACGGGTAGAATGTTCTCTTACCAGAAAGCGGAACCACTTTTTTATTCTTGCTGATGTTCTTGAGAGACGCTGAGAAAAAAAAAAATCCAGTCATTAATAAGCTGATCAAAGGGGTTTACACATCACAGAGTCTAATGAGAGATCTAAGGCTGAAGGAATTTGGCACGTCACCCCAGTGATGAGCGGGGAGAGAATTCAGGGCCAATCCCAGTACAACTGGGAGCACGCTGCTACTGTGCCAAAAGCCATCCTGCACAGAAACATCATGCAAATTGCACTTCCTGGGGCTGCACGGCAACTGGCAGTTTTGGTCTTATTTCTCTTCCTCGAAGGAAAAAGCCTATTTGCTTGAGTTCCGCTCCTGCCGCCCTCCTTCACAGGCTCTGTGACAGGTGACAAGACCGCCTCTGCCCAGCACCAGCTTAGGGGCTAACAGTCGCCCCAGGTGGACCCGGGGCTGTAAAAGGCAGGTGTTGGGTGCGCTCTACCAGCAACCAGAAACCCAAAAACCATAACGCAGCAGCTGCTTAACACCTCCGCGCCATCAGCAATAAAAGCAGAGTGCTCCTTCGACTTGGCAACACTAAAACTAGAAATGTATAACTTACATCAACACCTGCAAGATAAAACCCCCTAATCCACACAAGTAGAATATAAATAAGCGCTGTAAAATTTCTGAAGATATCCTCCATTTAACCACTTATCTCACAAGTCTGCCTCGATCTCAGGCATTTGAAGGGTTTGCGGGAGCCTCTGCCAGTTCAACAACCTAGCATGCAAATATTAGCTTTTTTCTCTGCATGTGCTCCTGAGTGTGTCTGTGTCAAAGGCTCCACTGGCATAATGAACACAGACTGTTTGCTAATAAGCACTCCAGTTAAATTGATTCTGGAGCCAAATAAGGAGACCGGAGCCGTTCTGAATTCCTGGCATTTCAGCAAATGAGATGAAAAAGACGTGTGAGAGCAGCTCAGGGAGCTGCCAGTCACTGCAGGAAGCAAAGCAGAGGCTGCTGCAGGGCTGACCACAGACTGCGCTGCCCAGAGCCATAGCTGGGGAATCAAATCTGGAGCAGTCAGACAAAGAACAAGGACCGAGAGCCCCGGGGGGAAGGGCTGGTGCAAGGTCAGAGGCCACCAAGAAGTAGACCAACCACAGTGGTGTCCAAGGTGGAGGAAGCACAGCCCAGGTCCACAGGGAAGCCATCATGGCACATGTGGCCACACAGTGTGGTTTGAACACTGAGGAAGGCCTGTGCTCCATGCTTGGCTGAAAGCCTGGTGCTGACTTTCACTCATTTTTGTAGCCACCATCACGCCCAGCAGCTGATGGTTATGAATTAAGATGCCAGGCTCAAATTTGTGAAAGCAAATCCTACAACTTGGCTTCAGGTGGAAACCTGAAGTTAGCATTTAATGTTTGCATGTGGTAGCTATTACTTAGGCAACTGATTTCTCTGTGCATTAGAATGCTTTTTAAATCAGCAAAGACATTTACCAAGTCCCTGAAGGAAATAACAAGTCCGATCAAGAGTACTTTGGGTTCACTAAGGCTCAGAGGGGTTCTGTCCAACCATGGCCTAGGAGGTTAAGCTAACGAAGCATCTGCAACCTCTATGGATTCCTTTTCTTAAAATATTTATTTTCTGTATTCAGAGAAAAACTGGAAAACAGAACAAAGCTAAAAGACATGGAAATAAGTATAAGTCATAAACCCACCACTTGCTATCACCAGTTGTAACTTAAATTAAATCTAGCAATAGGAAATCAGGATTTATCTGATTTGTGAGCCACAGGATAAACTTCTAACTGTAGATTCATGACTAAAAGTTTGCTTATTTTCAGGCTTTTAATGCATATATGGTTCATAAAAGAATAGAATTAAAAGATAAGTTTCTTTGGTTACAGAAAATCTTTGAAATCAATGCATAGTTTTTTCATAACATGTATTTTTCATTAATTTTTGGACTTGGGAATGATTTTGAATTCTTTTATCAAGGATGTTTGACCTGTATTCAGAAATTATTTAACCCAACGACAAGCAAGGAACAGAGGGAAAGCAGGGACTGGGGACTCTGCAGGAGGCAGACACTGGTCCTGGCCCTGCACTTCAGCCAGGTGCTTCCAGACGTCATTCTAGAGCAAAAGGACTCACTGCCCTCCCCCCACCCTCCAGTTCATTGCTGGATTTTCCTATTATCCTTCCTTTATAGGTTTTCAATTTTCTTTTACTTCTATTTTCACTTTAAATCATTTATGTCCTTTTGACAACCAGTAGTATAAAAATCTTATCAACAATTCCAAAATCAGAAGCGAGAGGCCCAGCACTGCCCTGTGCGCTGGTCCAGTGGTCCTGTCTCACAGCCTTCATGACGGGAGTGCGGCACTCCCAGAGAGACTTGAATGCCTCCAGTGCCTGCTCTCACAGAAACATGATGTGGTTGCAAAGAACTACTTCCCTTGCACTGTGAGAATAAACCCACTTTCCAGTCACATGGCCATGAGACTGAACTTCTCTCTGAGCCTCACTTAACCAAACAGAGAACTGACTAAATCATAGGAGTCACTCGGCAGGTACTCAGACGATGATTTCTCCCCTGCACACTCAGCACAGTACCCTGACCCAGCAGATGCTCACACAGTGTCCTCTCCTGCACACAGCAGGTGCTCAAACAATGACTTATCCTTCTGCACACAGCAGGTGCTCAAACAATGACTTATCCTCCTGCACACAGCAGGTGCTCACACAGTGTCCTCTCCTGCACACAGCAGGTACTCACACAGTGCTCTCTCCTGCACACAGCAGGTGCTCACACAGTGACTTATCCTCCTGCACACAGAAGGTGCTCACACAGTGTCCTCTCCTGCATACAGCAGGTGCTCACACAGTGCCCTCTCCTGCACACAGCAGGTGCTCACACAATGAGTTATCCTCCTGCACACAGCAGGTGCTCACGCAGTGCCCTCTCCTGCACACAGCAGGTGCTCACACAATGAGTTATCCTCCTGCACACAGCAGGTGCTCACGCAGTGCCCTCTCCTGCACACAGAAGGTGCTCACACAATGACTTATCCTCCTGCACACAGCAGGTGCTCACACAGTGCCCTCTCCTGCACACAGCAGGTGCTCACGCAGTGCCCTCTCCTGCACACAGCAGGTGCTCACCCAGTGACTCCTTCTCCCTAGTTCTGTCTCAAGTTTACTCTTGTGTATCTTAACATCTGTGAAGCCAAACTCCTTATCTTGCCCAAGTTATTTACCAATTTACAGATCTGGGATGAGATACAGGGAAGAGGTGTGGCCTTGCCACACAGGGCCTGGGAGGTGCGGGCTTCCTGTCCACGCTGTAGAGAATTTGGAACTCACAGAGCTCTCCAGCAACAAAAAAGCTGCCCCCGGAGAACCCCCAAAGCAGTGGGGCTGCCCAGCAGAAGAGAGGTGGACTGCATGATCTTAGAGATTCTTTTCTAGTCTGACCTTAACCACGTTCTATTAATTTTTTTATTCATCCTGATCAAAAATACACTGGAGTCTGTATTTTGAAGGAATGACGGCTCACGCTGTAGGTGTCAGTGCTGTGCAATTTGCTGCAGAATTGAACAGAAGTCAGACATTTCTGCTTTGATGCTTGCTTGGCACACAGAAACTGTCGAAGGTCAAATAGAGGACAAGCCTCACTCAGGTGTGCAGACAGCTGGAAATGAAATCAGAGATCCAATGATGGTGGACCCTGAGTAGGAAACGGCCCCTCTCCCAAGCCAGGAGACAGATCCTGACACAAAGTGCATGACAGCTCAGGGATGCTCCAGAGACACACGTGAAGAAAGGAGACAGCTCACACACATGGGGACTTAGCCGTCAACAACACACCTGCACACAACTTTCCTCGTGCACCGTCCCCGCAGTGCCACGTAAAGTTACGTGTGCAGAAGAGGAAGCGACAGAGAGGTGAAGGGACCTCCTCAGACAGCACGGACCCCGAGCCCAGGCCCCAGCACTCACCACTGCACACGGCTGAACTGCCCTGGCAGGGCCCTCTTTTGTGCTGAGTCCCTCTAACTGAAGCCTGCCTCCCTCCCTTCTTCTCATTCTCAGAGATATGCAAAACACTTTTTACACAACTAGATGTGCGAGTCCTCCCAGCAGCTTTGCCAGGCCCCACGGGAGGGGGCTGTCCTCAGACAGAAGCTGACACCTGTCTTTCTGGTGACCGAGAAGGCAAAGGGAGTGGCCCCTCTTTGGGCAGTTGACCACACAAAGCACTGCACCTTTGATCACGAATGAGGAAAGGTGCCATGGGTGCACGGCTGGGTTGTAGTCACTAAGACACAGCCCTGATGCAACTCAAGGGTTACCGAGCCAGGCTGGGTGTTTACCCCAGGAGACAGAAGAAGGCCTTCGTCTACAGCAACACCTTTTGTCCTAAAGAAGACTTTGAGATCTCAGGAAAGACTCATAAGTAAGGAGAGCTGCTAAAGAGGAAGTTGTGCTGTGCGCCATTCTACAGAATATACGGCCTCGTGCTTGGTCTAAAAGATTCTGCATCCAAAACTCAAAAACCACCTCCCATGAGCCTGAGCCAATCCTGCCACAGCCCAAAGGGTCCTGATTGCTACTGCCTCTTGGCATGGCCTCCAGTGGGTCCAGCCTCAGTGTGGGCCACACAGAGCTGCCCACACTCAGGCCAGAGAAGCCCATGGCAAGAGCTGAGCCACATGTGGCTCTCCTGAATTCCACTAGAGCCAGAAGTGAAGGCAGCCTCTGATGCCCCCATTTCATCTTACCAGGACAGAGGCCCCATCAGCATACCTCACTTGGCACAGTCCCTTCACAGCAGGTCCAGGACCACTACCAGGTCTCTGGGACACAGGCCCCGGTACTCACTCTCCCTTGCACCATGCTGCAGGTCTAAGCACCATTTTACACCCGAGTAAGAGCTCACAGCATGTCACCAAATGGATCTGCCTAAATAAACTAGTAAGTAAACCCCTCCAAAATAAGTGCTATGCATATGAAAGCAAAAGAAACCCCAGCTGGCAAAGTTATCACCGACCTCACCTGTGTGAGACTGCACAGATGCGTCTGTACACACTCACGGGTGTAGAGGGGGTCCCAGCACAAAGGCCAGGGTCTGGGCACCAAGCAGATATGAGCCGGAGCCTCTGGTTGCCCCGGTTTTCCTTAGCCTTGGGTCACATAAAATGCTTGTGCGGTGCTGCCCCCAGAGCCCTGCAAGTTCAGAAGTTCCAACGCCAACATCCTCACAGAAAAGGCAGCTCCTGCTCTGTATCCGGCTCCTGCCTAGACTTACAAGACAAAGCTGCAGAAGCTGAGTTAGTTTCACACCACAGTGGAAATAACTGGTAGCAGCTCTCAAGAGCAGAGCTCTTGAGGCAAGAGAGCAGAGGCCAAGAAGGGGGTTCTCCAAGGGGCAGGGGACGCAGCAGGATGTTGTGAAACCAGAGAGCCACCCTCTGCCAAGGGTCGCTCCGATGGGAGTCACAAAGGCAGCAGGGAAAATGAGCAGGGGCCTGGTCCTGGGAAGCAAATCTCCATCGCGCCACCCAGAGATGCAAAAGAGAACTGGAAAGCAGATGGTGAGGGTAAGTTTTGCTGGGAGTAGGCTCTCACCTGCAAGTCAAAGGAGGCTGTCAAAGCAGCACGGAGGGGAAGCAGGCCGGGGTCCCCTCGCGCTTGGGAGCTGAGAACACTGCTCTAAGAGGCGACAGCCAGGGGCACACCCCTGCGTGCACCTGTGCTTCACAGGCACTGTCACCAACTGCTGGTCACTCCCTAAATGAGAACCAGTAGCAGGTCATCGCAGAGCCAAGCTGGTTGGTGATCTGCATAAAACTGTTAAAAATCCATTCTGTAACAGTTCCTTGATTGCCAGTTTGATGAAATCACAGCAAAGGAAAAAAAGAAACATGGAGTGCGGCCTTCCAGGGTGAAGCTGTGGCTTGCACAGGCTGCACCTCTCAATGCACACACTTAGAGCACAAAAGGAGCCAAGAGTGGGAAGCAGGTGCATCTGTGTCTACACTGCAGGAAGATTTGGACACCAGGCATCTTAAGTACCGTACAGTGCCCAGCTCGTTCCTGTGACTTTGCCGCTAGAAATGTGAACACTTGGAAGCAAAGTTAAAGCAGGTTGAAAATTGCAGTGGACAGAAACTGGTCTTCTTTTCCTGCTTCTTCTGTGCCTATTCTTTGAATATCCCCCACAAAGCAAACAGAAATAACCACAATAAAACAGCCAAACAATGAGCCCCAGTGGATTAAAGAAAACTTATTACCACCTTTCGTTAATCTTCAGGGACTTAAACTTGCCTCATCCTCCTCCCCCAAAAAAATGGAACTGGCAAACTCACAAAAAACATGAAGATGCTGTGATGCCTGGGAAACAACTGTTGCAATGTGTTGGAATTCGGGGATTTGTAAGCCCCTGATTCTATAGAATGGGATAGAATTGATGGCCACCAACAGCCATCAGCAGCCGGGAAGAAAGGTAACGTTTTTTTAAGTGAGTGTGAAATGGCCTCATTCCCTCCTCCCAAATAAATCTCTGTACTGGGCCACAATTCCTGGTGGTTTCAGATTGGCTGAGTCACCTCCACAGCCCTGTGTAATGTGCTTTTGTGAAAAACTGCTTAGAGACCTTGGAGGCTATAATTGAACTGCAGAGCTATTGGGCAGCGCCTGAAAGGTAACTGGACACTTGGAGACACACGGGAGGGCTCGTGGAATCGCTCACAGCCCCCTCTGCAGGCTCTGAGCGCCGGCCTCGTGGAGAAGCCCACAGGCAGCCCAGGGCTGCGCTGTGCCCACCCAGAGCCCAGCACACGACTGGCCTGGGAGAGAGACAGACTCGCTTGAATTTCTGCTGCTCCTTGCGCTACCTTTGTCACCAAGGACAAGACAGGTTCTCACTCTGGGTTCTCCTCTGTGAAGTGGGGATCATTGACGAACGGATTATCATGAAAATCAAAGGCAGAAGGAAAGGTCTCGGATGGCATTCCAGAATCTCGACACATTCTCAAATGACGACCTCAGCAGATGGTTCCAGTCAGCTTTCCTGTGCCTGAGGCTCCGTGAAGGCCTGCAGAATTTCATGGGTGTTAAGACTGCCAAGACCTTGACCGGAAGGGCAGATGGGTTAGATTTTGCCCACTGATCTTTCTCTCTGAGGTCACTCATTGATTAAAAATTAAACAACAAAAGGAAAAAAGAGGCAATAACTGAAGCTATTCCCGGCCAGACTCACTTGGGATGCCCCGCGGGTTCCTTTCTGGTCAATAGGTGGCGCTCTGGGACCCAAATGTACTCGCACTGCAGTGCGGAGCAAATACCGCCTTCTTCTCTTAGTATCTGGGGGATCCACTCTACAAACCTCTTTTCTTGAAAACAGAAAAAGCGACTCTGATAATCTGGTTGGTATTCGTCATAACAAATGATGGCTTTTCTCTTAAGTTAGCAGGAGGAGTAGAAAGTCAACACTCAAGGGAGATGGTTAAAATACTTGGAGAAAATGTCAGTAGTTTGATGGTGAAATTGAAGCTCCAAGTAGCACGATAACCCATGTCTTGCTCTCCCAGGCCACAGAAAGAGGGGAACAGGACTGCCCCACAAACAACTCTCACTCCCCTCTCAGAACCAGAAAACCAACTGCGACTCTGACACAAGAAGCAGCCCCTGCTGGCCGTGAAACTGCCCTGCACTCCCCCCTGCACCCACTCTGGGTGCCCAAGGAGGCCCACATGCCCATCTGCCCACAGGTGCCCGTCCAGCTGCTCCTCTGGGTCTCCTCCTCCTGCAAGGCTCCTCTTGGGGTGGCGGGCCTATTTATGACTGTGTGAGCACTAAGACAGTCAGCTAGCGTGAGCTGAGGGGCGAGGCCTCCACACAGGACACGTGTGGGTCACCCACCTCCCAGGGAACCAGCAGATGTCCTTCGACCTGCCTTTGTAGAGAGTCCTGGGTCTTTCTTCAAGAGGAGCCATGTGTAGGTCCTCTTGCACACAGTCCATGTGACAACCTCTGAGGGAGGAAGGCACCGGGTGCAGTGCAAACAGTGTGGGGTAGTGCTCACTGAGGGATCTCACGGGCCGCTTGTCTCTCAATAAGGTCTCAGTCACCATGGGGGAGGGGGTGCAGGTGCTTCGGATTGGGAACGAGCCACATAGCACAAAAGTCTTAGCACAGTCATGGAATGAGCTTCTGGGCCTCCTGTTGCTACCCAGGGAGACTGGACCCTCAATTCTCAAAAGACACAGCCTCAAGAGAGCCCCACCTATGTCAAGTTCAAGGGGAAAACCACGTAACCTTGGGCAGACGCCTGCCCACTCTCTGCCTCAGTGTCCTTGGCTGTGAACTGCCCCATTTACATCCTACGGAACCCAACGGGTCACACTTCCACAGGATTTTTATAACTTGCAAAGCAGTCTGTTGGGCACGATGCCATGTGACAGTGTCATCTGCCATCTTCCTGCCCTTCACGGCTGAGAAGCTACACCAGAAAGTCATACACATGCATACTCTGGGAAAGTGCTTGGAGCGCCACCCAGGCACAGTGCCGTGGTTGTCAGTGGACAGGACAAACTCAGCAGAGGAGTCTGTGGTTGGGTGATGCTATCACCATTACTGGGGCAGGGGAGAGGCAGGGAAGAAGTAAGATCTCTATGGAGCATGCTCTGTGTGTTTTAACTACATTAACAGAGACAGCTTAGCCTGTGGTATACCAGCTGCTTATACTAGGGTCTTACAAGTACTCTCAGCCATGGCTGGATTCTACCAGATACATACACTTCTATGTCTTCAACATCTACTTGACATACCTTTTCTCTTTGTGTTGTGTCTTAAGGACAATCTTTTCTTAAAAGACACTCGAGAATGGTCTCCCTGAAACAGAAACCAGCCAGGTTAGCAGCTGACAGTTCGTCTCTAGAGTCCTCAGGACGGGGGTGCCCAGCGAGTGCTGGATCCTGAGACACGGGACTGGCAGGTGGTCAGTCCACTGGAGCCAGCAATGGCCCCAATGCAAAGCCAGGGCTGGGAGGCCACCCACTCTTCTGGCCACAGCCAGGGCCGGTCTTATTCTGGCCTGGCCTGGGGTCACCACTGTCCAGATAAGGTCCACTAGTCTAGCCTAGGGTCCAGCCCAGCCTGAGAGACTCCTCATTCAGGTCAGTTCTGTGACCCATCTGGAAACCAGGACCTGGGAGCCAAGTTCACACAGACTGCATGGTTTCTGCCACCACCCAGTCCTCCAGGCATTTTCCACATCAAACAACCCAGCTTCATCCTAGAGATAAGAAAAGGCAAGAAAACCTGAGCAGTGATGGCAGAGTGACAGTGGTCCCAGGACAACCAGCTAGCCTGAACTCTAAAGCAGGGATACCCCTTACTCCAGAGGATATGCAGGTCATGGGCCCGGCTCCCGTGGGGCAGGGCCTGGGGGAAGACGAGGCTGACAAATGGGAGACGCAGGGTCCCACATGGTGCCCAGTCTGTGGGGCTGCATACGCAAACAGTGCACACCATGGCCAGTCTTTCCTGCTGCCTCCTGGGACAAGGCCATATGCTGAAAGGAGGACAGCAAAGCCTGTCCCCCCAGGGCATGGTGAAGATCCACAGCAAAGGAAGGAGAGCCTCCATGGAGAAAGGAAAAGCCCTCCACCCACAGCAGCTCTGTGCCCAGCCAGCCTCCGCAAGCAGCAGATAGCAAGGAGAAGCCTCCAGCTGGGCCCAGGGCAGGAGCACAGAGGAAGACGGCACTGCGGGGCAAGAGAAAGCCCAGAGCTGATGGGGGGACAGGAAGGTTGGGGACACCGCCCCTCTCTCGGGCAACCAGCCCCCTCCAAGGCACAGGGCAATGAATTGGAAGCCTGGAAGGTAACCATAGTAACAGCAACACTAAATTAAACTCTCTGGACTGCTGCCAGCCCCCAGCTGAAGCCCTCACAGAGCAGCAGGTACCCATGCATGAGGGGAGATCTGTGGTTCACTGCAGCCTCTGTGGCCTTTGTCCAGCCCCACCTGCCGTCTGCTTTTGTGCATGAAGACTTGTTGGAACGCAACCAAGCCCCTTCACTCATGTTCTGTCTGTCTGCTTCTGCAACATGACAGGTTTGAGTAGTCGTAACAGCTCTGGTGTGCCCCATGAAGTCTAAAATAGTCACTCTGAAACTTGGTAGAAAGTTCATCACACTGGGCTATGTACGAGGTGAAATTTTTAACCAAAATTTCTCAAACTCATGAAAAACAAGAAAAAATAATAAGCAACCACCAAACATAAAGCAGACAAAGAAACCAGAGATATGATCTACAGGTTGGAATTATCAAACAGAGTTCTAAGCCGAAGCGACCACACCACTGCCTTAATTTGATACCTGGCCTCCTACCCGCTTTTTCACAGAGCTCACCTGAACGTGTGCCAACCACCCAGGTACTCCTTGCCTTGGCCGCTGCTCCTATAGCAGCAGAGCTGAGGGGCTGAACAGACAGCACCTATGTCCATCTCTTTGTGTAAAGTTTATCAAACCCTGCTCTAGAGCCAGAGGTGAATACTACGCTTTAACACATGAGGAATTTCACCTGAGAGAATAAACTGTAGGACAAAAATAAATGGAAATGCCAGAGGGCCTTTCATGCTAATAGATGATTAGATAGGCTTATCAATAAAATAAACAGAGTCAAGAGGAGATATAGTGACCATGAAAGTAGGTCAGTGGGTCAACGCCCTGGCCTGAAGCGCCGAGATCCCATTTGGGTGCCGGTTCGAGACCCAGCTGCTCCACTTCCTTTCCAGCTCTCTGCTATGGCCTGAGAAAACAGTAGAAGATGGTCCAAGTCCTTGGGCCCCTGCACCCATGTGGGAAACCTGGAGGAAGCTCCTGGCTCCTGGCTTCGGGTCGGCGCAGCTCCGGCCATTGCAGCCAACTGGGGAGTAAACCATCGGATGGAAGACCTCTCTGCCTCTCCTCTCTCTGCGTAACTCTGACTTTCAAATAAAATAAATAAATCTTTTTTTTAAAAAAAAAAAAAGTAGGTCAATGGAATTTCCTGAAATGGGAAGACAAAGAGGAAAGGTTGAAGGAGCATCACAGAGCCACAAACCTTATTAACAGACATGCAGAGAAAGAGGAAAAAGAAGTATCTGAAGATAATGGCTGACCCTTTTTCAAAAGTAAAGAAATATACTAAACCATAGATCCACAAGTCTCCAAAACCAAAATTAGGGTAAATAGTAAAAAAAAATAGAGGGGCCAGCATTGTGGCTTAGCAGGTAAAGCTGCCACCTGCAGTGCTGGCATCCCATATGAGTGACAGTTCGTGTCCTAGCTGCTCCACTTCCAATCCAGCTCTCTGCTGTGCTCTGGGAAAGCAGTGCAAGATGGTCCAAGGCCTTAGGCCCCTGTACCCACGTGGGAGACCTGGAAGAAGCTCCTGCCTCCTGGCTTCAGATCAGCTCAGCTCTGGCCCTTGTGGCCATATGGGGAGTGAACCAGTGGATGGAAGACCTCTCTCTCGGCCTTTGCTTCTCTGTAACTCTGCCTTTCAAATAAATAAATAACTCTTTAAAAAGAAAAAAAGAGAACAAGGAGAACAGAAATTTTAAAAGGAGAAAGAGGAAATTTAGAGACACGAAGGCACAATATCAAAGGGGTAGGACCACTGCAGCAGGGGTCTCGCTTGAGACAACAGAAACCAGCAGTCAGTGCAATGATATCTTTAAGAGAGCTAACAGGGAAAAAAAAACACTATCAAAGAATTCTATCTACTATGAAAACAGACTGCAAAGAGGTCTAACAAGAGAGTCCCAAAATACATGAGAAAAAACCTGGCGCAAGTGAGGAAATAGACAATTTAACAAGAATAGTTGGATTCTCTAACATCACACTTTGCATCTTTGATATTACAACTTGACAGATGACTGACAAAGAAACAGGTGACTTGGACAACTGTATAAGCCAACCAGATGTAAAGGTGTCTCCAGTACTCCGCCCAACACCAGCAGCATACATTCTTCTCAAGGCCACAAAAACATTATCCATGGCAGACCAAGTATAAGTCTCGATACATTTGAAAGGACTGAAATTCCATGACATATGGTCTCTGTACATAGTAGAATGAAACAACAAATCAGTAACAGAAGGAAACTTGAAACTTCAGTTATATCAGAAAACTTAGGCCGGCGCCGCGGCTCACTAGGCTAATCCTCCGCCTAGCGGCGCCGGCACACCGGGTTCTAGTCCCGGTCGGGGTGCCGGATTCTGTCCCGGTTGCCCCTCTTCCAGGCCAGCCCTCTGCTGTGGCCAGGGAGTGCAGTGGAGGATGGCCCAGGTGCTTGGGCCCTGCACCCCATGGGAGACCAGGAAAAGCACCTGGCTCCTGGCTCCTGCCATCGGATCAGCGCGGTGCGCCGGCCGCAGCGCGCCGGCCGCGGCGGCCATTGGAGGGTGAACCAACGGCAAAAGGAAGACCTTTCTCTCTGTCTCTCTCTCTCACTGTCCACTCTGCCTGTCAAAAAAAATAAAAAATAAAAAATAAAAAAAAAATAAAAAAAAAAGAAAACTTAAAACCACATTCCTAAATTTAATAAAAAAAAGAGAGAAGAAATTTAAGATGAACTAGAACTAAAACAACAAAATTACAGAATGCAGCTAGAGCAGTGCTTGGAGGGAAATTAACAGCTTTGGACACCATATTAAAACGTGAGACAGGACAGACTCAGGACTCACCAAGTCAAGCCACTCCCAAACCGACACGGATCCATCTACAGCACCAAGGCAATGAGGAGCAAGGAGTGTCCAGACCCCAACCAAAAAGACCCCTACTGCCCTGTTACCTGCCCAGAATAGCTCAGTGTGATAGATCTGTGACCTTCCTGGTTGGCAGTAGTGAGCAACACCAGCATACTGAATGTGGCAACAGTGTGGAAGACAAACAGTGCCTGTACAGAACACAGAGCTGGGTGCAAACCGAAGCTCCGAGGGGAAAACACCAACCTCCCAAGCACCATAAAAGCACCTGCTCAGCTCTTGTTGGAGAGCAGTCAGCAGAACCTCTTCCCACTGAGCTGTCTCCTCTGTGTTCGAGCATAAGCCCCCAAAACCTTGTCTGGGTTGTATGTTGACCTCTTGTTAATTTATGTCTACAAGTGAGTCAAAGAAAGTGGTTTGGTAACAAAAGGAAGAAAGATTCCAAGTCATTGAATCACCCACTTATGAAAACTATTAGGAGCTGGCACTGTGATGTAATAGGTTAAGCCTCAGCCTGAGATGCTGGCACCCCAAATGGGCATGTGTTCAACTCCTGGCTGCTCCACTTCCCATCTAGCTCTCTGCTAACAGCCTTGGAAAGCAGTGACAGATAGCCCAAGTGCTTGGACCTCTGCACCCATATGAGAGACCTGGAAGAAGTTCCTGGCTCCTGGCCCCTGGCTTCAGACTGGCACAGCTCTGGCCATTGTGGCCATTTGGGGAGTGAACCAGTAGATGAAACATATCTCTCTCTCTCTCTCTCTCTCTCTCTCTCTCCTTTTTTTCTTTAATTATACCTCTCAAATAAATAAATAAATCTTTTTTAACAAAAGAAACTGTTAAAAAAGAGAGCAAGCTAAACACAAACGAAGCAGAAGGAAAAAATTATAAAAATTAAAGTGGAAAAATGCAATAGAGAATAGAAAAAACTGGAGGAAAATCAACAAAACTGAAAGTCAGTTCTTTTATAAGATCAGCAAATTCATCAAACTTATAGCTAGGATAACCAAGAAAAAAAGAAAAAAATATCAAATTAATAAGATCAGGAATTGTATCAGGAGTATCACTACAGAGCTCAAAGAAATACAGTGAATTATAAGGGAATACTTTGAACAATTATTTATCAACACCAAGCCA